AATGGGAGGAAACCAGAAGACCTGGAGAAAACCCACAAGGTTGGACAGGTGATCCTACTCCTTGTCACGTACAACCGGGGAATCGAAACCATGCCAGTTGACTCAAGGAGGGCATGTCTCGTCGTTTGGATGAATCTAGATACAATGGTTCTTGGCAATAATAAAATACTTCTAGCTATTTAAACAATAAAGTATGCAAAATATTTCATTTACAAAATATCTTTCAATATGAAACGTCAAATTATCTTTAATTCAAAAAAAACAAAAAAAAACAGCATTAAGCAATTTTTATGAAATACTTTCCTGAATTGTCTGTCCACCCACTCTCTCTTGTCTTAATACCTGCTTCATTCATTCATATACTGTGTAGATGGAAATATATTTTCTTTTACCTATTCTCAATACACGTACTTTACACATTAAATATTTTTTTACAAATGTCAAGAGTCGCGAAGAGACTTGAAATATAGAAACCTAATCTGGCAAGATGATAGAGAAGTACATTCATTATTTCTTGAGGGAGTAATCTAAATATAAAAAGATTAAGAATACAATTGGAAATTCATGATCAGAATTCTATATTTAGATGTATAACCATGTTCATCATGTGTGTTTTTTTTTTCGTCATAATACAACATTTTGTTCTTCCTAATCCTATTCGAATTTCTAATTTATGTTTAACTGTACTTGTCAAAATGTACCAGATACATGTCAAAATGTACCAGATACATGTCAAAATGTACCAGATGTAATTTTAAATGTACCAGATCCAAGTCAACATGTACCAGATGTAATTCAAAACGTAACAGATTCAAGTCAACATGTACCAGATGCGAGTCAAAATGTATCAGATGTATGTCAAAATCTACCAGATGCAAGTCAAAGTGTACCGGATGCAAGTCAAAATGTACCAGATAGATGTCAAAATGTACAAGATGCATGTCAAATTCTACCAGATATGGGCTGTTTTTGATCAAACATAACATCCTCCTGTAAGTGGTGCAGGACAAGGAAGGAAAAGTGTCTAGTCATACGGGTGGTACGAAAAACTTGGGTCCTGTGTACACATTATTGTGCACATAAAAGAATCCTTGCCTCTCGGAATTCGAAAAGAAAAAGTAGGCTGTGGCCCCACTGCCAGGACAAAATATCCACAATACAGTGATAGCACACTGTATGGCATATATGCCCATTTTTATTTACCCTAGTTGGTGCAGAACAAAAGAGCATTAAACCTCATTTCAAATATAACAGTAAAATTGAACTTTTTTTCAGAAATGAGAATTCCTCACTTGAGAAGTGTCATCAGCTGTTCAATCCAAATAGAACAAACGAATAGTAAGCCCTTAAAATTTATCTTAACCAAATGAGAGGCCATTGTCCAAATAATACAAACATCCTAAGTCTCAATTATCTTTTTATCATTAAACTCTTATATGGTTGTGGTGTTCTAATCTAACTAAAATCACAGCCACCTGATGGCCCAGGAGTTTGATTATCCAATTGTCATGTGAATAAATGTCTAAATAATAATTTATAATATATGCTTGAAGCCAAAAGAAAGACCTGCAATGGGCCGATTTAGCTCTTACGTAATACATCTTTAATACGTGTGCAATAAAAACATTCTGTATGCATCTACAGGTAACCTCTGTTTGACTTGAAATAAATTGAGTTAATTATTTTCCACTTTTATAAAGATGCATTATATATGATTTAAATAAAGGGCTGACAGTGCTCGCTAGAATAGTTAAAAAATAAAAATATATTGAAAATTTCAGTCATTTTGACAACAGAGTTATTGCTGTCTCAATTGTCATTGTTATGATTGTTACGATAATAAACAGAGTCTCGATTATCAATTTTTTAATTAAATTATTAACTAGACAGTTGATTATGGGCTTGGCATGTGAATAAATGTATAAATGATTTATATAACATTTGAAGCCAAACCAAAGATTTAGATTAGGCAGATTTAGCTCTCTTACATAAGGTCCACTCGACACAAACCAGGTCATTTCAGGACTAACACATGGTTCAATTTTATTTCAATAGGGGAGCTTTAGCAGTGGAAGGAAAATGGAGGACCCAGAGAAAACCCACAAGGTTGGACAGGCGACCGTACTCCTTGTCACATACAAGCGAGGATTCGAAACCACTTGACTCAATGACAGATCTTGTGATTTTCGACGCACACGTTAAACCACTAGATCACCCAACCCCTCTCAATTCGAACAAACCAATACAATTTAAAAAAGACTAAGCAGCAGACAGCAAACTGTCGATAAGAAGCACAAATTAGCTAAACTACACAAACAACTTAAAAATAAATTTGAACATCCTTTGTTTATGTACATTACAAGTTTCACCGTTTATCATACGTGGGTGTTTTTTAAGGAGGTACCCTAAATAGATTCAATTGCTTCCTACAATAAATCTAACAAAAATTTACAAAACAATTGTGATATTAAAAAATAAATAAATAAATTCAATGGTTTTGTGCATAGCAATGTGTACACAGGACCTTAGGTTTTTCGTATCATCTGAAAGACTGACAAAAAGAGAGAGAGAGATGGGGTTTAACGTCCACTCGACACAAACCAGGTCATTTCAGGACTAACACATGGTTCAATTTTATTTCAATAGGGGAGCTTTAGCAGTGGAAGGAAAATGGAGGACCCAGAGAAAACCCACAAGGTTGGACAGGCGACCGTACTCCTTGTCACATACAAGCGAGGATTCGAAACCACTTGACTCAATGACAGATCTTGTGATTTTCGACGCACACGTTAAACCACTAGATCACCCAACCCCTCTCAATTCGAACAAACCAATACAATTTAAAAAAGACTAAGCAGCAGACAGCAAACTGTCGATAAGAAGCACAAATTAGCTAAACTACACAAACAACTTAAAAATAAATTTGAACATCCTTTGTTTATGTACATTACAAGTTTCACCGTTTATCATACGTGGGTGTTTTTTAAGGAGGTACCCTAAATAGATTCAATTGCTTCCTACAATAAATCTAACAAAAATTTACAAAACAATTGTGATATTAAAAAATAAATAAATAAATTCAATGGTTTTGTGCATAGCAATGTGTACACAGGACCTTAGGTTTTTCGTATCATCTGAAAGACTGACAAAAAGAGAGAGAGAGATGGGGTTTAACGTCCACTCGACACAAACTAGGTCATTTCGGGACTATGAAAGACTGACAAGGGGAACCCACACCAGAAAATCTTGAGTAACTTTCTTAGCGCTGAGATCTAGATCTCCTGGCTAGCAAGCCAGGATCTTACTCACTAGTATGTGGATTGCTCACTATAATTAGAGGTCTAATTTCATGTGAAACTTCAATATAGTTGATTTTATTGTGCATACAAAAATCAGATCAACATATATTTTTGACCCCCAGAAATTCTAGAAATTTAAACACTGGCTTCTCTATAAAAATATTCTGAACAAGATGCAGGTTGATAATCACAAATCAATACAACAAGTGGTTGCCATGCAAGACATATGGTTCCATTTTATTTCCATAATTCGCTTGCGCGTAGGGGTCTTTAGCAGTGGGAGGAAACCGGAGGACGCAGAGAAAACCCACGAGGTTGGACAGGCGACCCTACTCCTTGCCACGTACAATCGGGGAATCAAAGCCACACCAGTTGACTCAATTACAGACTTTATGATACAGTGAGCATGTGCTAACCATTCAGCCATCCAACCCCCCCAGAGATGGATAGAGTACAAGATAAAAAAAAAAAAAAAATGCAACTTTTGGGGCCATAATCCAGGAAATTACGGTCCAATGTGCACAAATGTCGAAAAGAACCAAGATCTTTTGGTTATACATCTAAACATACATTTCAAGTTTCATCTAAATCGGATAAAAATTGTGACCTCTACAGTGACCACAAGCTAAAAACGTAATTTTTTCTACAATTGGGGGCCATAATCCATGAAGTTTTGATCAGATACATGCCAATATCGAAAAAAAACGAGATCTTAGCAGATAAAACTATTTTTCAAGTTTCGTCAAACCTATATAAATATTGTGATATGTAAAGTGTCCACAAACAATTGTGGACGGATGGACGGACAGGGGCGACAACAATATACATCCATAGGAAAATGTGGAAGTTTATAAAAACACATTTCTTTTATCACCCACATAAAATTGTAGAAAGATGACTTGAACCAAGAAACCAGAAAAAAAGAAAGAAAGAGAAATAAAAAGCATCACTAGATCTATATTATTGTCATGTAAATCTTTTTCTTCAGAATATTAATGACAGATTTCTAATGGTTTTTACTCTCAATGTTCACGACTTTAAGTGCTTTTGTTCAGAAAATGATTTATAAAAAAAATTTAAAAATCATATCTGTTCTATATTTATCTGATGAGCTACAAATGTACACGTACAAACAAAGGCCAGACGGCAAAAATTCCCACACGATTTAAATCATCGCAAGCAGTTTATCTTTCCATTGACATTAAAATAAAATTATAACTTTCTATTTCAAAAATAACTTACAAAACCAGATGAGTGGGTCAAGTATTAGGGGAATATAAAAATAGCTAAAAAAAAATAAAAAAATATGATTTACTATTTCAAGGAAATTATGACACATTTTTCTTTCAATGGAATGATAATAGAAATACATGATTAACACAGTGATTCACTTTTGCATTGCCAAATACAGAAATCAGGTCATGGAAAAAAAAAACTACTGGTTTAATGCCACGAGTGACAACTAAAATCTTATAAAATGAAGCCAACAGTGAGGTTAAGTTTCCCTACTAAATCCCAAAATATATAGGAGACACTGATTAATTACTTAGGCTATTATTTTTTTTCTTTTTTAGTAGAGAGAGAGAGAGAGAGAGAGTAATGTCCACTCAACAAAAACTAGGTCATTTCAGGACTAATATATGTCACCCAACCGCTCATTCTGTTACAGTCTTATCTCTGTGTATGCAGTTCTGTTCTTACCTCTCAAATGACATTTTGGGCTTCTAAAAGTACCATATTAAATTATCCTAATATTGTTATCTGAAAAAAAAAAAAAAAAAAAATACATCAGTATTAATGATGTAAGATTTGGATAAAAGAGCTGACAGATACGAATCTCTTAAATAGTTTAAAAATCAATAATGAAAAAAGAATATATTGAAAATTTCATTCACATTACTTTATTCTGAACGAAATTATGACTGTTTGAAGAATAGGCTACATGTAATAGCATAGTCTTGAGTTGCATTGCTACCATTGTTACGATAATAAACAGTCTTGATTATCCATTTTTAAATTATAAATTGTGATTGTCTTTCGATGATCTAGAGAGACGATTATAGGTTTGTCGTGAATAAGTGTCTAATTAATAATTTATATAACATTTGATTCCAAAATAAAGACCTGCAATAGGTAAATTTGGTTCTTACATGTAATGAATGCATCTTTCAGGTATTGTGATAGAGTTACCTGAGAATAATTCAAAATCATCAAGACTCAAGTCTTTAGCAAAATTAAACTGATCTCAAATTATTCCTATTGATGACGAAACAAGTATTTAGCTTACACATAAAATTACATTTATAAGGCCAAAAATAACTCGACTCTATTCACCAAAGTACTTTCAGTAAAAAATAAAACAATGAAATGAATATTCAAAAACAGACAAGATAGGTTGCCAGGAGATGAAACATTTAAATTTAGTCTATACACTGTACACAAGAAACTTCTTAATATTAGAAAACAATGTTAGGACAATGATATTGTCATTATAATGAAGACGGGCATACATAATACAGTGTGCTATGAGTTATATAGGCCATAGCGCCGCTGTCAGTGCCAAATTTCTCTCATTGCACTCTGTATGGTGCACACCCGTCTTCATTAGCCCAGTCAGTGCAGCAGAAAAGTAGGACGTCAATTAAACCTTATTTCATTTCCATGATCCTAGATTATTCTGTTAAATAAATTAGCAACAGGATATTATTATAATTAGAATTTGTTAAAATTATGGTTAAATGAATTGTAATTATTTACATTAGACAAGCCATAATCCTAGGTAATTACCCTATCATTGGCTTGTATGTATCCCGTAGCAAACTAATTGGCTAAGTTCATAATGTGAACTACTCTACAAGGCACAAGTTTACCAGTAATTATCTTATTATTTAGGTGTATATATATATATGAAATGAAATGGGGTTTATCATCCTACTGTTCTGCTCTGTATGCTATGGGGGAAATTTTGCCCGGACTGCGACGCTACGGCCTACTGTTATAGCGAATTCCAACTGCCAAGGGATCTTATACATGCATGCCAATGTGTACATGGGACCTTGGTTTTTCGTTCAATCTGAACAACTAGACAGCTGTCCTTGTCTGGCACTCTGTCCTGCATCACTGACAAGGTGGAACTGTGTCCGAAAACCCCGATGAACTTTGATGGAGAGAGAGAGAGGGAGAGAGAGAGAGAGAGAATTTACACTCTATAGAGGTTGGTCAGGGGATCCTACTACATGTAGGTTCGAAACCACATCACTTATCTCAGAGACAGGCCTTATGATCATAACGTATGCCAGTCTTCATTAGCCCAGTCTGTGTAGGAAGGTAGGACGTTGAACTCAATTTCACTTTCATTTTATTTCATGTAGAGAAAATGACTTATTTGTTGTGTAATTTGATGTGAATCACAGCCATGCTCCATTAAGCACCCACCTGTTGGGTTTTTTTGGAACTGTGCATGTAATTTAATCTCCGGCTACTTATTAAATTTGATTTCATCAGCTGTTACATTTTTTAAATAATATTAAATTTTTGAATGCTATTATTGTGCTTTTATGCTTCCAAAAGCCAAAATGAGATCATACATGTATATTGCCTTTGCCCTAGTCCGTCTGTCTTCTTATGAACACCGGTTATACGTGACAAGGAGTACGATCACCAGTCCAACCTCATGTCTTTACTCCAGGTTCTTCGGTTTCCTCCCACTGCTAAAGACCCTATGTGCATGCGAATTATTGAAATAAATTTGAACCATATGTTAGTCCCGAACTAACCTAGTTTGTATCAAGTAGATGTTAAACCCTATTTCTCTCTTACTGGTTAACTGCTGCGTGTATGTTGTGTTGTGAGACAATCTGGGAATAACGGTTTTAGTTGCTATGAACTACCTGACATCTGAACCTTTTTGCCATATAGGAAGGTTGGATTGTCGAATGGTTAACACGTAGGTGTTGCATCATAAGTTTTGTCATTGAGTTACTTGGTGTGGTTTCGATTCCCCATTTGTACGTGACAAGAAGTAGGGTTGCCTGTCCAACCCATATGGGTTTTCTCCAAGTCCCCCGGTTTCCACCCACTGCTAAAGGACCCAAAACCCAAGCAAATTATTGTTCGAAATAAAATTGAACCATATGTTAGTCCCAAGATTGTCTGTGACAGGTGCCTTATTTCTAGGCCTGGTGGCAAATTAGTTATTAATATTAATTTCAAATGTCTGCCTAGAATGATTATTTCAGAAAGAATGTTAATGCCGAGGCCATTGTTATGTTGACTACGTTATATTAATAAATACAGTATAGTACTATTTACCACATATATAAAGTTTACAGATGTTACATACCTAGGTTAATAGGTGCAGTACAATCCTAATTAATAGGTGCAGTACAATCCTAATAAATAGCTCCATAGAAATTTACTTATATCACCTATTTTAGTCTGTAATTGTGTCCCATTTTCAGATATAATTCTGGTGTCTGACCTTTGCTTCGATCTACCGGTACTCTTATTTTAAATTCCAACTATTAAGGGTTTTTTTACATGCACACTAATGTGTACACAGGACCTCGGTTTTTTGTACCATTCGAATGACTAGACACTATTCCTTGTCAGGCCCTCTGTCCTTCGATCCCGGTGTTGGTCAAGAAAGTTCATCAAGATTTTCCAGTGTGCTTTCCCCCTTGTCAGTGGTGCAGGACAGGGGGGCCTGACAAGGACAGCTGTCTAGTTGTTCAGATTGAACAAAAAAACAAGGTCCCATGTACACATTGGCATGCACGTATAAGATCCCTTGGCAGTTGGAATTTGATATAACAGTAGGCCGTAGCGTTGCAGTCTAGGCAAAATTTTCCTCATAGCATACAGAGCAGAACAGTAGGTTTTTAAACCTCATTTCATTTCATATATATATACATGTACACACCTAAATAATAAGGTAATTAATGGTAAACTTGTCCCTTGTAGAGTAGTTGACATTATGAACTTATCCAATTAGTTTGGTACCGGATACAAGCCAGTGATAGGGTAATTACCTAGGATTATGGTGTGTCTAATGTAAATAATTACAATACGTTTAACCATAATGTTAACAAATTGTAATTATAATAATATCCTGTTTTCTAATTTATTTAACAGAATAATCTAGGATAAAGTTTAATTGACGTCCTACTTTTCTGCACTGATTGGGCTAATGAAGACAGGTGTGCACCATACAGTGTGCAATCAGAGAAATTTGGCACTGACAGCGGCGCTATGGCCTAATTACATGTAACTCATGAAAACCAAGATAACATGTGAAAACCAAGATAGCCCATAGCAAACAAGAAAACCGGTTAAAATCAAGAAAATTAAGATACGGTTTATTATGCAATTAGGTTTAACATGAGAAAGGTCAAGCCAAGACTTTTTTTTTTAAATATACTGCATTGTATTCAAAAGGCTTTAGGACTAAAAACTTGCCCTGACCTGACAACATGTAGAAATGTTGGGATATACATCATTGTATATAGCAAACCACTACATGCATGTGATAGATATTTCAAGTAATCAAGTACAGTACATTGTTGTGACGTCAACGTTTTGACAACATGACCCCAAACTGTTAGTGCTCACAATAATGACACACCTAAAACATCATAAATTATATATAAACGTATGTAATAGAATGTAGCCTACTCCATCAAATATGCACATAACCTTCAAAAATACACACAAGCTAAGGCCCTAACAAAGTAATCTCTTTTTTCATCAGTCCGGGGGATCACGTGGCTAAGTGGGTAAGACGCTAGCTCGCTAGCCTGGAGGTTGGGTGTTCGATCCCTGCATTGGCCGAGAAAGTTCATCCAGATTTTCCGGCGTGGTTCTCCCTTGTCAGTGATGCAGGACGGAGGGGCTGACAAGGAAAGCTGTCTAGTCGTTCGGATGGGACGAAAAACCGAGGTCCCGTGTACAAATTGGCGTGCACGTAAAAGATCCCTTGGCAGTTGGAATTCGATATAAGAGTAGGCCGTAGTGCCGCTGTCCGGGCAAAATTTCCCTCATAGCACACTGTATGGCGTATGCCCGTCTTCATTAGCCCAGGTTAGGTGCAGAACAGTAGGACGTTAAACGCCATTTCATTTCATTTCATTTCATCAGTCCGGCGTATGAAGACAACCCCATTTCATTCATTTCTTCCGACAACTAATCTAATTAAAATACAGATCTATATTTCGTTTCGTTTTTTTTATACTTTCGATGGCCACCCCTGCATGAAGATCGTACCAGTTGTAGTGGGAGGTCACGTCAGGGGTCATACGAGGGGCTGTTGACCCTATGACGTCAAGACTTTTGATTAACCAATCAGCGTTGATGTTTCTAGTAGGATACCCACAGTTCTGTGTATCGCATGGCAAGAACTCACTGCAATAGACCGTTTCATTGGCTAATCCCTCACATCAACCAAAATGCTGGTTATATAACAACTCTTCCAGATCCTAGTGTAGTAAAAGCAAGCAAAACGAAATTTTGAACTATAAAACACGAAACGAAATAGGATCTGTGTTTTAATCAAGATTGTCCAACAAGGCAAGGACAGGAGACTTTAAAGTTACAATTTCATATTTTTAAGTTATATTTTTAAAATGTATTAAAATAAAGCCCTAAAATAGATCGTATCTATAAACAGTCCTACCTTGTTAAAGAATAATCCTATAATTCACTATTGCCAGTTGAGAAATTGGCAAAAATATCATTTTCAACTTCAAACGTTTAAAGATAGCTAT